GGTGGGGCTTGGGGTTCATGAGCTATTTTTACTGAGAGACAGGGAGTAAGGTGAGAGCCTGGGTCACGGTCTCTGTTTTCAGTAGTCCCTCTACTCCCAGGATCCCAATGAGAAGGTTGGGCCCCTCCTATTTGCCCTCTTTGGGCTGAGGTGGAGACAGTGGGGGGGGGGCTTTATCAACAGTTGGCCACAGCCCTTCCCTCTGGCTGCCCCACTGGCCAGAGCTCAGGCCCTGCTGGATTAAAGCTATAATGATACAACTCACATCAGTGGAAATCATTGGCCCCAATCACCCCTTCTCTTAACCCTGCCTTCTACTGAACCCAGACTACTGCCTGCTCCACATTCCACAGCAGGGGAGGGCAGCACAGCACCAGTGGGAGCAGAGTTCCACCATCAGCCCCATCCCAGGCAGAACCCCTGAGGATCCCTTGGCTGTTTTCCAAAGCAATCGAGGTGGATTTGTGGCAGCTAGAAAGAGGGTACTCACCAGCATTTCGTGGCCAGGCCTCTGGGACGTCTGAGGCACTACCAGCTATATAAAGGCACCTCTCCATCCAAGTACACCTAGATTCAAATTTGAGTCTCACCACTGTCTGACCTTGCTCATGCCTCTGAATGTGTCTCCAAACCCCAGTGCCTTCATCAATAGAATGGGAGTGATAGCAGTCAGAAAGCAATGAATGGAATTGAAACGATGACTCTGTCCTTCCTTCCTGATCAGAGGCCTAGGGCTAGGAACCAAGTAGAGAGAAGTGGCTGCCCAACAGACTGGTGTAAGGTGTTGTGTCAACTGCTGGATCTTCCTGGGTGCTAAGGTGTCAGGTCCTTGGGGCCCATACCAGGGACCCAGGGAAGCTAGGCAGAAGGATTATGAAGGCTACCTGGAAGAGGGGACCTGGGAGTGACAGTGGATGTGCAGAACTGCCTGTCCATCTTCCCTTGTTCTGATCCTTGAAGTCATAGTCTTTTTATGTCTTTATGCTCTGTTCTCAAGACCTCTGGTAACAGATGTAGGAAAGGGAATTCCATAGTTTTGGAGTTTGGCAATACTGTGAATGGGACATGGGGCCTCAGGCATGACAGTTAAATGTTCTGCTCCTAAGACACAGTTTTAATAGTTTTGATTCAAGTAGGGAGAATATCAGCTTACCCAGTATCCCCTTCTCCCAGTTCCCTAAGTTCAACCCTTTTTTTTTTTTTTCCTTTGGTTTTTCCAGACAGGGTTTCTCTGTGGCTTTGGAGGCTGTCCTAGAACTAGCTCTTGTAGACCAGGCTGGTCTCGAACTCACAGAGACCTGCCTGCCTCTGCTTCCTGAGTACTGGGATTAAAGGCATGTGCCGCCAACGCCCAGCTCAACCATTTTTTTCAGCCACCCTCAGGAAATATAGCCCAGTGTAGCCTCCGGCTTCTGGTTTCTAGCAGCCCTCTAGGTTGTAGGTAGGGACTTTGTGCTCACCATGCCCTCAGGGCCCTCTGTAGCCATATACCCAGGGGACATTTCCTCTTATGTAACCGAGAAGGAGCTTTGGGACCTGGGTCATAGACTCCTCTGGGCAGAGGTCTGCTCCTGAGTAAATTCAGTCTCCCTCTCCTCAGTGAAACCAAGGGCACATGAATTTGCCCCCTGAACATGAACCTTGTCACAGAGGAGCAGCTGATGCCCCTGGGGACAATAGTAGGCCCACAGCTACAAATTCCCTTTCTCTGTGAGGGTAGGGAAAAGATGGAGCTGGTAACCACAGTTGTTCTTCCATCACACTTGAGAAGACTGTCTTTGCCCGGAAGCTGAGAAGGTAAGAAGTACAGGATGAGGTTTCCGAGACTTGGGGAGAAATGATGTTATTGTATCCGAGCCCTAACAGGATTCATCATCCTTGAGTCGACAATCTATGACAAGTTGCTTTGTGTTATAGGGTGGGAGGCAGGTGTACACCAGCCAGAGCTGCAGGTGAAGGGCTGTCTCCAGTTAACACAGCAGAGCACTGGAAATAAGAATTCTAAGAAGAAAGAAGAAACCTTCCAGTGTAGACAGGGGGAGGATTCAGATGAGTCCCATCACATACTGGAGTGCTTTCAGCAAGGATAGCATTCCATCTCCCCCAAACTCTAAATTCCAGTGTGTGTCCTTGGAGAAAAAAACATCCCCATAAGACCTGAGGGAGCCCAGAGGGGGGCTGTACCTGCCCTTTCCATCACTTAGCACCCCTGAAAACCCAACAGGCATCTCAGTAAGACAAGGAGGACTGGTGGAGGGGGAGACAGTGGCCCTTAAAAACTAGGGGACTTGCTGGGAGTGGTGGTGCATGTCTTTAATCCCAGCACTGGGGAGACAAAGGTAGGTGGATCTCTGAGTTCAACGGCAGCCTGGTCTACAGAGTGAGTTCCAGGACAGCCAGGGCTCCACCGAGAAACCCTGCATTGATTAAAAAAACAACTAGGGGACTCTGATGATGTAAGTGTGGTCTTGCTAGGAGGAAACATTGAACAGTCTAAAGGATGGTATAGCAGATTTAGTTGAAGAGGAGGGATTTTTTTTTTTTTTTAAAGACATTGGCCTATAACTACATATGTGAGGCCCTGGGCTTGTGTCTCAGCTGAAGCACACACAAACACAGACAAACATGGACCTGTTCAGGTATGGGTGTCCATCCGGGGTGAGGGTAGCAGAGCTCGAAGGGATTTGTAGGGGTCTGGGTGCTGGAGAGGGCTAGGGTAAAGATAACATGGAAATACAGTGGAGCCGATGGAAAGGTTAAGTAAGAAAGAGGAGGAAACATGGTAGTTAATAGAAGGGAGGCACCTAGGCAAGGAGACGGGGAGGGGGAAAGGAAGGAAAGGAAGACGAGATGGAGGCCTGGAGAAGGGAGTTCCAGAAGGGGAGAAGGCTTTCAGGCAAGATAGGCCTCGAAGGATGCTGCACCCTCTGGGCCTGGGCCTGACTTCCAGCCTGATTTCAGCTGGATAGCATCTGCTGTCAGGGATGGGAACTGTGCTCGGTACTCCAGCTGATGACAAGAGAACTTGGTTTTCCAGAAAAGCATGGTCATGAGTGAATGGCCCACATCCAGATCTTAGTTCTCAATGGTGGCCAAGTGAGCATGGAGATTCACCGCTCAGTCCGAGACCAGGAGACCTTTGATTGCCACAGCTCATCACATGTTGAGCTCCTGTGACAGCAAGTGGGATGAGAACCTCAGCAATCTCTAGTGCCCACGGATGGCCAGTGCCAGACAGACCCTTGTCCTAGCTTTGGCATCTCCCGGCAAGGGAAAGTGGAGCGAAGTGAGATCAGGAGGAGGAATTTCTCGGTTTGGGGGCAGGAAACATGAAATGGAACCCAGGGAAGATGACGAGGAGGAGGCTGCTGGCAGAGACTGAGGTCAGGTGTCTTCTCCGTGGACTAGTATACTCTCAAAGGGGGACCCGGGATTGAGTCCGGATTCATTTTCTTGAATGAATCATTTACTTTCTTTGAACATTTCCCCCCCCCCCTTGGACGGGGATAGATCTCTTCTATTGTTCTGGCCGTCCTCGGTTTTAGGAAGGAAAAACCTGGCCGACTCGTGACTGCGGTTTCGGGTGCGGCAGGCGGACAGTGGAACACGTAGAGCGGGCAGGAACGCTTCTGCGCATCCCGCAGGTCCTGAGCGCAAGCTTCCGCTCTGCACTTTGCTCGTGCGGCGATGCTGCACCGACTGTTGCGTGGGGCGGAGCCAATGTCCCTTCTCACCCTTTGGTCTTCTACCCTGACTTCCGCCGCCAGCTCCAGGTCCAAGATTTAGGCAGCTCTGCAGAGCAGGAGAGCCTGGGACGCAGTTTGCCTCGAGGTGGCGCTGTGCTCCCACAATCAGCTTTAAACGCGCTCAGAAATGATTACATCATCCCAAGCCTAGAAGACTCTGAGAGGAGAGGTGGGGAGTGGCTAACCCCCCCCCCTCCACTAAAACATTTTTTCC